TGTTTCTGCACCATGTGGTTGAGCTCTCTGTTCATAAACCTGAAGTCAACATGTTATCTGCACTGAATACTATTTTGGAGGCTCAGGGGGAAGATTCTACTTTTAAACTCACTTAGATTGTTGACAGAATTCAGTTTCTTGGTATGGAAATATGTAGTTTTGACCACAGTTGGGTAGGAAGCAGGTTCACGCTTAGATCTAACAGGTTTCTCTCAGGTCCGGTCCCATGTCCTTCTCTATCTTCAGGACTGGCAATGGGGAATCTTCTTTCCCTGAATCCTTCTCTGATTTCTGTTTCCGACCCTGACTCAGATTTAAAGGGCTCACGTGGTTAAGTTATTCCCACAGAGATAATCTTCCATTGTTAAAGACAGCTGAGTCATAAATATCACATCACCATGGAATAAGAGTCATCAGAATCCCAGCCATGCACATTATGCAGAGTGTGCACATCTGATGAGGGGATCTTAAAAGCCATCTTAGAATTCTGATCTATTGTAGTTTATATACATGTTCACAGAATATCACTATGAAAAATTTTCAGTGGATTCATTCTCAATAGAGTTCTATTATAAAAAAAAATACTACCTGTAGTGTCTGGCTTCAGAGAACAATTTATTGATGGCTTCAATATGGATTTCCATGGTAAGAAGATAGCATATTATTTCACTGAGTAGTCCTGAGTTTATAAAGAACATAGGATATTTTAAATCTTTTTTACTTTAAATCTATCTTAGAACAAGTGATTTATCTTTCTGTACTGAAATATTTTATAGTATAAACTATAAATAATACCATCTCAGGATACATTATTTGTTGTAATTTTAATAGAAACACAAGTAGGTTCTTGTGTATCAATAAAACAACGTCTTCCATGTGAATTACCTAGTTGAGTTTTTTCACATTTGAGATTTTGTGATTATTAATTTACTAACAGATTTAGTTTTGAAATAATAAATACTTTTCCTTTGACCAATAGAAGTTAAGTATAGTTCTGGGATGTATGATCCAAGTATTCAAAAATTAAAGCATCATAGTTAGTCTAAGGCCTTAATATATGTCTTGTCAGATATACTGGTAGTCATCCTTCTGGGGATAGAGCTCAGTGGCACAGCACCTGCCTCGGGAGTGTGAGGTCCTGAGTTCAATTCCCAGTACCCCCCCAACAAAAAAAATGTAGTCAACCTTTCAGCCTGAATTTTTCCAGGTTAATCAAGTTCTGGATGAAACCTACATACAATATATTACTCTTAATTTTTCACTGTTTTAAAATAAATTAGACATTTAAGGGTAAGAAGAAAAATATGTCATTCTGTCTAAAATTATTTAAAATATAGACCTTTATGTTAGAAGGACCTAAACATGACTCTCAGCCAAACTCACCAATCCCACAGGTAATTTAATCTCTGCAAAACTCAGATTTCTCAGTTTTGTAGTTTTACTATGTTAACCTTGCATGCTGGTTCACTTATTTATTTTTTTAAATTTTATTTGCATTTATTTTATGCTTAATTTATTCCCGCGCCATAAGTTTTTGTTTCTTCAGTTTCTGCTGGGGTATCTTTTTCTTCTGTGCAGCTTCCTCCTCTGGTTTACGAACAATTTGTTCCTTTTCAGTAAGGATCATCTCACTATGGCAGGGGGAGCTCAGGGATGGGTTAATCCAGTCATAAACTCTGTAAGTACGGTGGCCCGTCTTGGATGCTTTGTTCACCTGGATGTGTTCAATAACCAGAGAATCTACATCTAAACCCTTAAGCTCAGCATGACTCTCTGCATTTTTAAGTCTGTACAGCAAAAATTCAGCACTCTTTTTGGGCCAACAACCCTATGTCTAGCCTCACTGTTTGGCCTGGGCACTCCTACCAACTCCACCATTGTAATGCCAGAATGGCACACATTGCTTCTTTATTTATTTTTTTTTTAGCAGTTCTGGGAATTGAACTCAGGACCCTGCACTTGCCAGGCAAGCGCTTATTCTACTGAGCTATCTCCTTGACCCCACATTGCTGCTGCTGCTGCTGCTTCTTCTTCTTCTTCTTCTTCTTCTTCTTCTTCTTCTTCTTCTTCTTCTTCTTCTTCTTCTTCTTCTTCTTCTTCTTCTTCTTCTTCTTCTT